AACAGGTATAAAGCAAGATGGAGGTTTTAGGGCAGAGGTTTCTTTCTTCTTCATCTTCTCGTTCTTGGGTCTAGGTGGTACTTTTCAATTGGATAGAAAATGCCTCAGTATGGATCACGGGTGTTTGGTCATTGGGTCAAAAGTAAAAATTATTTAGATGTTAGTTTTAATTGGACAATTAAGCCTTAAAAGACCTTGTAGTGAGAGAGATACATCACCATTTCACCATTTTTAGCTTGTTAGCTAGAAGTGCTGCAGCACTCACTGTACTATAGAAAAGAATTAATAAACATCTGAGTCTGAACACAAAATTCCATCTCCTGTGCATTCAATCCTGATTCTGTCTGAAGAAAAAAAGAAGATAAAAAGCAATACCTCACTGGAGATATTCAATAACTGTCTGCATGCAGTCTTGTGCTGTGTGCTCTGGGATGACCCTGCTTGAGCAGGGAGGTTGGACCAGATGACCCACTGTGGTGCCTTCCCACCTCACCCATTCTGTGATTACATAATAAAGAGTTTTGTAAAAGCTCACCTTGCATAGAAAGATAATATTAAAGGCCTCCTTAAAAGGCCTCCTGTTACCTCTCTCCTCTTTAATTCTGGATTTTTTTGCTTAAGTTCCTGATAACCACATCTTAGCTTACCACATAAGAAATAGAGACTTTGACCAAATGGCATTTGAACTTTACAGTCAAAACATAACACTTTCAACTCAGGTGCTATGCCAGCTTCAGAAGTTAGAGAAGCTAAAAAGAAGGACATGAACATCTATTAGGGACAGATTCTTTGCTAGTGATGCCTGACCCAGTCTGCAAGATATCTGACCCCTGTCTGTTCAGGGAGGCGGGGGGAGGACACTCTGCAGCCATTCTGGAAATGAGTAAGCACAGTGCAAACCTTCAAACAGAAGTGATGCTCCTAATTTGTACCAAGAAAACATCTCTACTGTCACAAATCATCATTCTGCCCAAGGCTGATTTTTAATTTTGGGCTCAGAGAAACATTTACACAGAATAACACTGCTTTCTTTTCAAGGGGCATATGCTTTTGAAGGGGTTGTCAGGCCTGTGTAGCTGCTGAGACACAGGGCAAGAGACATAATACCCGTTACCTCCTTCCTGATCAAATCACAAGGAGGACTTTCTGCTGCCATTTTTCTAGAGTTTTTGTTCCCAGATTCCACTGCTGACTATCAGTGACTATAGAAGTTGTAGAACTTGCTTTTCATTCATGCCATCTAAAATAGTGAGGGCCGTGTTAATGTGTAGGTATGTGTGCTAGTGATGTTCAGCAGCTTAGCTTAGATGCTCAAGCTACTCTTGCAAACTTGTTCACTGAGAATCATTGTATTGTACAAAATAGCTTGAATAAGGGTGGGAACAAAATAATCATCTAATGTAGAATTCCAGACAGTGAGATCTTCCAGCTGGGGCTGTTGCCAAGTTTGTCAGTGTTCCTCCTCGCTGGGCTTGGCAGTGACCCTTGTGGCAGGGTAACTGATCACCTGGTCCATACAGGGCTTTTGAACGTCATCACATAACTAGTGATAAAGATGTCCTCCTTTTCGGAGTAACCCGATGTAAAATCTGTACCTTGTTGTACCTATTCCCTCTCTGCAGCTGGCATACTGCTGGTGTTATGCAGCCATCTAGAGGGCCTGGTGTCTGTGCCGGCTTCAGACGGGTGGCCAGAAACCACAGAACTGCAGGAAAACAAACTCTGCTGACCCTTGGTGGCTGTAACTCAGCTGCAGTTCTTCGGAAATGTTTTTACAAGTTCAGGACTGATGTTTTGGTGCTGTTATGCAGCCTGTTGTCAATTTTTTTTTTAGCGAGGGAGAAGGTATACTAACTAACTTGATGAGGGCAAAAAATTGGGGGAGCACTGTCAGCAGAGAATAGCATCTAGGCGTCATAGAGGAGAACATCTCTAACCCTGAGATTTTACAGCAGTTCCACAGAGCAAGTGCAATTCATACATCTAGGGGGTATCACAACTGACACCATAAACTGAAGGGGAGTCATTCTCTGGCAAAGACAGACAGAAAGAAAAAAATGGAGGAAAAGGCAAAGATCATTCAAGACTATCATAGGCTCTTAATTATTGGAGATGTTAGGAGGTGCATGTCTGGCTCAGATAGGGAAGACAACTCCTTGTACAGATGAGACTGATAACTGACTGGAGCAGAGAAATGGCTGGAAAATGGCCTGGTGGAAAATGATCCAGGGGTGCTAATTGACAGCCAGCTGAACATGACCCAGTGTGTGGCCAGATGGTCAAGAGGGCCAATGGCATTCTGGCTTGTACCAGCAGTAGTGTGGCCAGCAGGACCAGGCCAGTGATTGTCCGGTACAGGGCAATGGTGAGGCTACACTTTGAGTGCTGTGTCCAGTTCTTAGCCCCTCACTAAAAGTAAAACGTTGAGGCACTGGAGCATGTTCAGAGAAGGGCAATGGAGCTTGTGAAAAGTCTGGAGAATGAGTCCTGTAAGGAGCAGCAGAGGGAGCTGGGGGTATCTACCCTGGAAAGATGATGCTCAGGGGTGACCATATCACCCTCTTCAGCTGCCTGCAAGGAGGCTGTAGCCAGGTAGAGGTCAGTCTCTTTTCCCAGGCAACTCTTGACAAGACAACAGGACATGGCCTCAAGTTCCACCAGGGAAGGCTCAGGTTGGACATTGGGAAGAATTTCTTCATGAAAAGGGTAGTTAAGCATTAGAACTGTCTGCCCAGGGAGGTGGTGGAGCACCTTTCCTGGAAACGTTGAAGAAATGACTGGATGTAATTTAGTTGACACAGTGGTATTCAGTCAAAGGTTGGACTCAATAATCGTAGAGGTTTTTTCTAACCTTAATGAGTCTGTGATTCTTTGATTTTATGCCTTCACATGGAGCATCAGATAGAAGCCTGGCTTTCAAAGATCTGGAAACAGGAATTTGAGGATGCAGCCAGGTGATCAGGGGAGCAGAAATATTATTTTATAAGAGGAACTTAAAAATCTAGCAAGGAAAGGTCCAATAGAATATGAAATATTTTCCCCCATTAAAATATGACATCACCGATCTCAGCAACAGAGAGATCAGAGGTGTGAGATCAGATGAGCATAGATTGCTCAAACCTTTGGGACTGGAAAATCAGTATGCTTTTAACTTTAGGAACAGTGAGGTTCATTAGTCGTGTCTGCAGTGCCAGGAGGAGGAAGCCTTGCTACAACGCAGGTTGATCCAGGAGGGAGCTGTCACCACCAGCGCTTCCCAGCCTCATGCTCCTGCTTTGGTGGCGCTGTTCAGACCTGCTAATTTATCAGATTGTGTCGTGATAATAGTAAAAACAGTGTCCCAGCATAAGTGTGCCTTGTACTCCGGTGAGAGTGGGCAAGAAGGCTGTGAAAGGCTGTTATGGACACCCTGTAGCAGTGCGTACAGGCTTTAGGTGTGTGTGAACTCTGTGTGTGTGCACCGTGTGACTGTGTATGCACCCCCTATAAGGGTATTTACACCCTGTAGCTATGTATGTACACCCTGTAGCTGTGTATGCGCACCCTATAAGGGTATTTACACCCTGCAGCTGTGTTTGCAGTCCCTGTAGGTATATTTACACCCTGTAACTGTGTATTTACACCCTGTACGTATATTTACACCCCGTAACTGTGTTTATACCCTGTAGGTGTATTTACATCCTGTAAGTATATATACATCCTGTAGGTGTATTTACACCCTGTAGCCTGTGTATTTATACTCTATAGGTGTATTTACACCCTATAGGTGTATTTAGACCTGTAGGTATATTTACACCCAGTAGCTGTGTATTTAGACCCCGTAGATGTATTTACACCCTGCAGCTGTGTATTTACACCCTGTATATTTACACCTGGTAGCTGCCTATTTACACCATGTAGGTATACTGACCCCCTGTAGGTATATTCATACCATATAGCAGTGTATTTACACCCAGTAGCTCTGTATTTAAACCATGTGGATATATTGACATCTGTAGGTGTATTTACACCTCATAGGTGTATATATTTACAACTTATAGATATATTTACACCCCCTAGGTGTATTTACACCCTGTAGGTGTATATATTTACACCCCGTAGCTCTGTATTTACACCCTGCAGGTATATTTATACCCTATAGCTGTATTTACACCTCGTAGCGGTGTATTCACAGCCCATAGGTATATTTACACCCCTAGTAGTGTATTTACACTCTGTAGCAGTGTTTGCGGGCCCCGTAGCTGTGCATTTACACCCTGTATGCATATCTATTTTCAGCGTGAAGGTATATTTACATCCTGCAGGTATATTTACACCATGTATATATATTTACACCGTGCGGGTATATTTACAGCCCATAGTTACAGTCACAGCCCGTAGGAGCGTTTGCGGGCTGCAGCGCCGCCCAGCGCTCGGCCCGGGGCGCGCAGGGCCGGCAGCTCCGTTCCGCCCCGTTCCGCCCTCTCCCCGTTCCGCCCCCTCTCTGTTCCGCCCCGTTCCGTCCCCTCCCTCCCTCTCTCCATCCCTCCGCGGGGCGGGCACCGCCCGTGAGGGGCCGGGCCGGACCGGCCTCGGGGTCGCCCGTGTGGCGGAGCGGTGGGAGCGGCCGGGTGCGGGGCTGCCCACTCTCCGCTCGGCCCATCGGCCGCCGCCGCCTCTCTTTCCTCTCCCGGCGGCACAGCCCTCCTCAGGTAAGGGGGCAGCGGCGTGTCCCCTCCCCTCCCTTCTGTCCCGCGTCCCCGAAAGCAGCCGGGGTCCGGCCCTGGTTTTGTGCCGAGGGTGCCGCGGGCCGTGCTGAGCCCTTGCACCCGGGGCCTCTGCAGCCGGCGCGGCCGGGCACGGCTCGCCTGCCCTCCCGGTAGCTGCGGGGCCGCCTCCGAGCCGAGCCCGGCCAGGCGGGGTCCCGGAGCCGCCGTGCCCGTGCCGGCTGTCCCGCTGCTCGGTGCCTGCCTGCCCTCTTCCAGGAAACCGCTCCCGTCCTCTCCTTCCCGCAGGGAGGCGGCCGGCGGGAGCAGCTCCCGTGCCGATGCTGCTGCCGGCCTGGGAACTGTGCCTCTACGGGCTCCTGACCGTGGGCTCCCACCTCTACGCGTTCTACGAAGCGCACCAGGTGTCTCGAAGTAAGTGTGCGACGTGGGCGTGCTCGCTCGGGCACAGCTTCCCGGCCGGGGCTGGCGAAGCTGTTCGCTGTGAGTTCTCCTCTCTGCCTGGTTTCTACTTTGCTCCTGTACGAGGAGCCGCTGTGCTCTTCCCAGCTGCCAACCTGCCCTATGCGAGGAAGCAGTAGGCAGATGCCACCTGGACAGAGAGCTTTGTCCCAGGGCTTTTTTGCCTTCGAGTGCTAAGAAAGCCCGTGCTAACGCTGTCCTCGGACATGGCTGTCAGGGAAAAGATGAGGGAGACCTTTGAAACTCAACTACTCAGACAGGGAAAATTCAGCAAAGTTGAGTTTGAATTGTCTTGTTTTTCCTGGCTGGTCACCAACAGCTTCTTGCGGGTGGGTGGTTCACAAGCAGCTGTGCCTTCTGAAGGTACTTGCCAGGGTCTGAACCTGGAGAGGCCCTAGGGCAAATTGATGTTCCCTGCCTGGAGCTCTGGGGCTCCAGTGCTGAGTCCAGGACTCAGAGCAATGGTTGGGTTGTCTGTAGAGCTCTGCGGTCAATTTGTTTCCAGACACCTACCTCTGCCTTGTGTAGCCTCTTGGGAGCTGCTGTGGTGGCTTGGTTTGACACTGTGCACCTATGTATTGCAGAGCAAGGGGGGGATTTTAAACAACTTAAGTACAATTTGCAGATGAAAAGAAGCTGTGTTATAGCACACTGGTATTTAAATGGAAATAAAGGTTGTATTATAAAAGTATAACAAGCTAGAGAGGCTTTGCAGGGAATATATATTGTCTCTTATTAGGCTTTAATCAGCAAGGTTCTATATTGATGACTCCACCTGGTTCTTGAAAGAGCTCAAGGGAAGAACAGAAGTGCTAGGCAGGCATTTGTAGAGCAGTGAAAGGAGTGCTGCGTGACTGGGTACAGAGCTGTGCACCCATGCATACAGCAAGTCTTCTGCAGAAGTTGCAAAATGTGGTGGCAGCGGGCTCTAGAGGCATTTCTCTGAGCAGCTTTTCCCTGTTTTGGCTGTACTGGCCACTCTCGGGTCTGTGTTCCCCCCTTCTGCTCTGGTGGGAGAAACCAGGCAGTTCTGACATATGGCAAGTGAGGAATAGTGCAGGTCTTGTGTAGTAAAAGGTGGGCTACTGCTGCTGTCCCCCTGGCCAGTGGAAATCAAGCACCAGTTCTGGGGAATTGCTTTGCCATTACTATGGGGCAGAGCTGTGGCACGGTTGGGCCCCCACCTAGTGAGCAGTGACGTGGTGACTTGCCCTTCCCTGGATATGAGTGTCCTCATTGCTGGAGACCACATGGGAATATGTTGCTCTTGAGCAGCAGAGAACCCACCCCTGACTCTTCCTGCTCTGGCTGCTGTGTTCTTATCAAAGGTTTGCTCTTCCCTGCAGAGTATGAAGCTGCAATGGACAGAAGGTTTGGGCTGGAACCAGGGACTCTCTTTCGGGGGTTAAAAAAGGTAAGAGATGTGGCAGCATCTTGTTTTGTGGCAGTAATTGTGCCTCCATGCCCTCTGCTCATCCAAGCTGCTGATTTAGCTTTAGAAGTTTATAGCAACATGCAGATTTGGATATTTATAGTTATTTTTAGTCTGCTATTTCTGTTGAGGAAGAGAGACTGGCTAGGTGTGTCTGGATCTAAGAATCATAACAAAAGTTTCGTTCCTTTTCTCGATCCTTGGCTTGAGTGTTTATCCTTTGCTACATCTCTTGATAACCCTCTACTTTACTGTTTGGCCTTAAAACTCTGATCAACCTTGACACTTCCTGCAGCCTTTCCCCCCTTTTTCTTGTTACCGGGTGATTTGCATAATCCTTAATATCAATGAACATGTTTTTCTCTTGGTTGGCCTGTAGTATAGCATAGAGGAGAACAGATTTTGAGGTGAAAGGTCTTAAAGAAACATAGTGGGTATTAAAAAAAAACACCAACAAAAAACAGTAAGAAAACTGGCAGTCCTCTACCCCAAACCAAAAAACACATCCCTTCCCCCCCTTACTTGCATTTCTTCAAAAGGTTGTGAGGTCAAAAGCAAATAATGCAACTAATCTTGAAGATTGCTTACACAAAAGCAGGAATGCATGTCTGTGGAAGTGTTTTGGTGTTTAGGCCTGCTGTCAGTGCTGGTAATGGACCTTCAAAATGTGCTTTTTAGAAATCTCAGCTGCCTGAAAGCTGAACTTTTAGTGAGGCTCTGTATTGGACATGAGGCTACTGGCGGATCTGTCTTACCTAATTTAGATACAAATCTCATGCCACAGGTAACTCCAGCTGACCTAACTCCATCTGATTGTAACTAGGCTTTGCTGAAATGGGGAGTGAAACGTTTTTTCCAGCAAAGCACTTTTCCACTGAAGTTCTTGGTTTTTCCAAGGCAGAGCAGAGTTGCTCTTTGAATCCCTCAGAAGAGCTGAAGTTGCTCAGCTCCAGCACCAGTGTGAGGCTTAGGAGGCACACCACCATGTAAAGCTCTGTGTTTCTGAGCTTTGGAATTCCGCATTGGAATTGAAAATGGTGCTGCCAGTGATCCAACTGGATTGCTGAAATGGTGTTCCTGAGATGTGGGAGTTCTGTTGGGTACCACACAGCTGGCACATTACAGGGCTATTGCTTTGTCCTTTATGGCCAGATACATGTAGTGACCAGTTCCCTTCATGCCACAGGACCCCATGGACTTTGAGTGGAGCTACTGGATTGAATGGGGAAGGGAGCATATACTGTGGCTTCTGGCTGGTCACCTGCTGGTGTCACAGACATCTAGGCTCTTGGTGGAGAAGGTATGTAGGGATTTTCTTCACAGTGGGGACTTTCTGATGGGTTTGTTTACTGTGGGTGTGGGAAGCTTTGCAGTGAGACCACTGAGAATAGTAAATCTCATTCTGTGGTGTGAATTGTGTGTGGGGGTTGGTTGCCTTAATGTTTGGAGACTTCAGTCTCCAACCTCTAAAAGCCTCTGCCTTGTTGCAAGCCATTAAACAGCATTGTTTGACTTGTACACATAATAAGGGTGCAGTTGTTCCTTTGTGAAGAAAGTAAGTAAAGTGATGGCTGCTTGGGTTTTGGCATGATTGGTAAATGATTGCATGATTATGGGAAACGATCTGTTTGTGGTGTCACACCTGCTCGTTTAGGGAAGGAAAGGAAGAAGTTATGCTCTCCCTCACATTAGGGAGGCTCTGATTTTCTATAGTGATGCTACTACAGAAACACCTTCCTTTTCACTTCTAAGGACACAGTTGAGTTTGTTTTTTCATGTGTGTTCCTCACCTTGACTGTTGACTCTATTTGTCTCTACTGCAGAGCCTGTGTAGGCAGCACAGGTATTGAGTGCCTTTTTTCTTTAGAAATAATTAAATTAAAGATTGTTAACTTTTCTTTTTCTGACAGTATAAACCGTGGTGCTTGATGGTTTATGGAATGGCTGCCTGCTGGTTGTTACTGGGAATCAAGGGCTTTGCTGTCATTTTGTTACATGCAGCTATTTCCTTTGCTGTGGCTCAGTTTCAGCTGTCACTCCTGACATGGTTGTGCTCCCTTATTCTTCTGTCCACTTTACGCATACCAGCGGTGGAAGAAACCAAGGTAATGTGAGAAGGACTAATTAAGCATCAAATTAATTATGGTGGTGGTTGTCTGTAATGGCATCTCTCTCTATGGCAGCATACTGTCCCTTCAGTTGATAAAAGTAGGGGTTGGTTTGAGAAACCTTAAGCAGTAGCACTGCAGTGACTCACGCTGGAGCTTCTCCAGTTAGAAAAGTCTCATTTCTCAATCATGGTGGCCAGTACATTGGAATAAAAGTATATCCCTTGATGTGTGAGTGGTATTCAGTAGGGCTGAATTATGTTAATGCTGCACCTGTGCTCTATTAAACACATTTCATTGGAGCTCTAATCATGCCAATTTAAGATGTTGGGTTTTGGGTTTGTATCCAGGAGTTACTCAGTTAAGTCTGCCTGTACTTATTGGTGACTGTGACTTCTGCAGAGAGGGAGACTTTCTCCAACACTTTGATTTGTACCAAATTACTTACTTGCATCAATTAGCTGTAAGCAAGCTCAGTTTTGCTCTTTGTCTAGTGGCTTTTTCTGGGTAGTACAGATATGGAAAAGCTGTTGATCAGTTGTGAGAATATGTCCTGTTGTATTTTATTGGACCAATGGGGAAAACTGGACATTTTTTGTAAGGGTTGTTGCCCTGATGTTCAGGGGGACGGGGAATGAGTGTGTAGAATCTCTTCATGTAGTGTGGTCAGTTTTGTGATTTGCTCTGGTGAGGAGAGGGCCCACTGCAATACAAATTGTCAGTCAGCCAAGCTACATTTGCTCGTATTTCCAAGTTTTTTTTGGTGATAGGCTTTTGTTGTTGGCAACAAGTGTGACACCAAGTGTCAAAGTATCAGTAAATGCTCAGTAACATTTTTTCCAGCCTTAAGTTTTCTCAGGAGTGACTGATTCTCTTTGTATCTAGCTTCATCCCTAGTAGTCCCTTGGCTATCAACTCTGTTGCCAGCTGTTTTGAAAGTTATAGTGCTGGACTAAATCTGAGGTAGATACTGTTTCATTTCTGTAGGAAGAGCTCTCCTGCTGTCCTAATTCTTCACAGCCTAACATGTTTCTGAAATCAAGCTGTCTCTTTATGCTGGCTGCAGTAGCTCTGGAGGACCTTTCTCCATCAAAAGCCAGTGCTTGTTGTTCATGTGTTTAGTGCTGTTCACTTTAGATTCTCATTCCCACTGCTATTGGCTTTAGTTTCTTCCTGCTGCTGCTGACCCCAGAAGTTGAGATCTGAGTAGACACTGCTGTATTGCTATAGAGAAAACACAGCATTGCACCATCAGGATCTGGCTTTGTTTTGTTTTGCAGAGAAAGTGGTATGACACTGAAAATGAGTATTATCTGCTGCTCTTCACTGTGTCTGTCCGCTGCCTCTTCTGCACTAGCTTCAGCCTGGAGTACTGCTGGCATGCACCTACCCAGAAGTCATCCCATTCATTCCCCTGGATGCTGGCATATGTGTTTTACTATCCTACATTCCACAATGGACCCCTGGTGAATTTTGATGAATTCAGTAAGCAGGTAACAGTTGTTCTTTGGGTGTCTAAAGCTGTCTTCCACATAATCATAAAATCAACAAATAATATGATAGGAATGTGACAATTTTGTGTGCGCAATGAGGAATTTTGTAAGGTCCTGGATATCGACTTTTAAGGCAAACCTGTCTCCCCAAGTTCTTCTGCTTCACAGGATGTTTTGTCTGACATCAGGTTCATCCCTTCAACCAGGGAGCCAGTGACATGCTTTGTTACATTTGGAGAGTGTTCATAATATTAACATGCAGCTGCTGGACTCACTTTTTGTTTTCTTCTTCATCAGGTGAAATAAAGCTAATGTTTTCAGCATAAGCTTGCTATTAACTATGAAACAGATTTTGGAGTCACAGAAAGCTGGTAGATTGTATTGGGAATTCCTGAGAACTCCAGTTTTCTCCTTATGTTGATGTGAAAACAGCTGATGACTTTAATAGGAGCTCTTAGCTTCAGCTGAGCAGCTTGTTTAAAATATAAGACCTACAAACTGTACTGAATGCTTTTCTTAGATCCTTGCAGGCTTCTTTTCAAGCCTGCTTTTTACATGATGGAAAAGTTCTTGTTTTCATCCCTTATTGCTTTCCGTATTTTGTTACATACTTGAGTAACAAGTGGTATCACAACCTGCTATATCTATAGTTAAAATTATTGTGTCAAAGTGGATTAGAGGACATTTCAAACCATAAAACTGTTTGTTCAGTTTATGCATAGAAGCCTAGGGATTGCTTGCTTCTGTTCACATTTGGAGAATTTCTGTTGAAGCCAAAGCAAATACTGGGCTTTATGAAAGTGAAACTAGATACTGGTGGATCCTTGACTGAAAAGTTCTGTGCTCATTTTTTTCACTTGCTTCAGAAGATGCAAGGTTGAATGTTATCTTGGGCTGGATATTGTGGGAAAAGTCAGCATAGTCTTGCATAGAAACGAAGGTAATATTTTTAACTAATTATTGTTTTGTGAAAATTCTGGAGCTGGAGACCGTGAACTGCTGTATTGCCCAAGGAGTGTAATACCAGTTCTGGCAATTGGCTTCCACTGGCAGGCAAAAATGAGACACTAACACTTTGTCGCTGGCCTTTGTTGAATTTCGGGGTTGAAGCAAGGCATAGCAGTTCTAGATGTGGGTTTGAAGGCCTGTTGTGCAAATCCTTGTGATGAAATGGTAGTCTGCAAGCTTTCATGTCACTTATACAAAGGAACCTTCCAAAGGGGCTTGCATGTTAACTGCCCTGTGCTTGGGACTGAGGGCCTGTGCAGATGAGTTGGTTACTTCTCTTGCACATGCATTTTTGGTGGCCAGCTAGAGACTGGAAAAGGAAATGTTGCACATAATAATAGATGTATAACTCATGACTGAGTTTTTAGGCAATCCTATGTTTCTGTTTTTTGATTCTATTCTCTTTTATTGTGGAAAGGTGGTGCAATAATAATATGCCTATGTGTTCACTGTAGTTAGAATTTGGAGCCTCTTGAGAAGCCTATCAACTGCAAATTTTGCCTTATCTGATATTTAACTTGCATTTCCATTTTCTCAGCACATTCTGTAGGTCTTGCTGACTTTAGCAATGCTGTGGGAGGAAAATTAAGAACTGTCCTCAAGGAATTGATTCTCTGCAGTTGGTAGAAATTGGAGGTATTTTAAGAGTAAGCAGTCATTTTGTTTGGAAGGGCTGCTGCTTGGAAAACCTTCTTCATAGCTGTAGTTTCTTTAATCTTTTTATATTATCTGCAGAGGTCAAGTTGCAGGAATTAAAGTCTGATGTCTGGATTCTGTTCGGGTTAACAGCAGTTGGCCTTTTTTTACAACAGTTTGGTGCAATGTGCATTCACATTTGGCTTCTTGTTGGTTTCTACTGCTTACTGAGATGGAGAATGGAGAGACTAGTGTCCCTCAAGAGTGTGTCAGGAATTTCCAAGTGGTGTAGTCAGAAGTTCCCAGGATGAGTATTTTGAGTGAAACAGCCAGTTTTGTGCCAGGTAACCTCTTTGGATTTCTTCTTTAGATGAGGAGACAAGAAGCTTTCAGTGTGAAGACCAATCTCAGCATCTTAATTGTGGGCATAATTCGTATTTTCTTTTGGTGGTGCCTGGCTGAGCTGATGATTCACCTCATGTATATCCATGCTCTCTACAGTAGTGCTCTGCCTTTGGAATCTGCATCTTACTGGGCCTTGGGTGAGTATAGAAACAGTAGCAGAAATCTTTCTTCTTCCCCTACTTCAAGAATCCCAGTCTGCATCTCTTTTATGTCCATTTGTAGGTACTTAAATGTAGCACATTATAGCCAGCCACTGTCAGAAGGGTGGCCTACAGACTTTTAATATGACATGTAGATCTCCATAACCTTAGTTGAACTTACTGAGCTGCTTTCTAAATTAAAAAATATTTTGTACTTTTTCCAGTTTGGAGTATGTCTCTAAACTTTGGTCTAAAGTGGTTCTCCCCCTCAAGTCATAGAAGGACACTTAAAAAGAATTTATTTAGTGTGGGGATGGAGGAGGGGAGATGTTAAGAATTATTTTTATCTCTTTGTGGTTGATGTTTCTTGTTTACATTCACATTGAAAAGTAAAAGGACAGAACTTGTGAAAATAGTAGAGGGAAGTACTTGCAAATAAGGTAACCTGAAAGTAGTGGCCAGTTCTGTTTTCCTGCTTGGCCTCCCCTACTTCTAGCCTGTCTGCAGCTCCCTGGTATTTCATGAAAATGTCCAACTGTGAGGAAAGACAGTGCTGACAAATGCAGTGTAAATCAGCAAAAGCGTTAGGTGATGGTATGTAAGCAACTGGCATATGTGGTTGGTTTATTTGGCTTCCTGCCCCTACTTCTCAGCTGTACCACCAGGTAGGAATTAAAAAAAACGAAGAAACCGCAGACGTTAAAAGTGGTTTCTGAAAAAGCCTTGGTGATTCCCGACTTGCAGGAGGTGTCTCTTACAGCAGGGATTGATGCACACACTGGCACAGTCCTGTCCAGCACTCGCTGAAGCTCACCTGTGTCACCACAGCGTGTGTGTGTTGGAGAACACTCTCGGACTGCATTGGACTCTGGTCAGCAGAGGGCAATGTGTGCACTCTCTGTGTGCCCCTGTGTGCATGCACGCACGCTTGAAACATGTTTCAGTATAGAATTTTTATATCTAAAAAGGGCAAGGGCAGATGGAGAGCAAGAAAGGGAGGTGTTTGCCTCAGTGGTTTGTTGTTTGTTCTACTCCTCACTCAGTCACTGTTTAGAAAGGGGATTCTGAGTTTCCGTTTTCTATTCTAAATGTCAATTCATTGATGAGTTAAATCTGTTAGCTCCTAGTGCTTTTGTGTGTTACAAAAAGCTGGCCACTTGATAATGCAGGGATGGCTCCAGAATTAGGGATGAAATGATCCAGCTGTGTTGCTACTGGTAGATTCCTCCCTCCCTTCAAGACTAACATTATTGATTTTATAGGGTGGGGTGAGAGTTACTTTATGGACAGTGGCTAAGTTGTCTGTGTATTTATTTGATGAAATAAAGTGTGTTATTCTAAGAATTAAAATGCATTTTGAACAGAGAGTTAGAAAAGGTGAAAATGCCTCAAAGCAACAGGAGATGAAAGCAATTTTTAGAGCAAGTTTGGCCTGTAAAGATGCCTGATTTCAAATTAAATTATTGTATTTTAACAAGCTGCTTATGGAGACCCTGCCTTTAGGAGAGGTGTACTCAAAATGTAACCCTACTCTCACTGTTTTTGTAGTAATGTAGGCAGGTGTTTAAAATATAGTATAAATGAGATTTTGAGCTACAAGTTGGTCACTTAGTATTTTCTCCTCAGGTTTTATCACGATGATTATATAGGTTACCTAAGACTCAAATCAGTGATAGGTCACTGTGGTGACTTGCTTTAGGGAGCTACCAATATATGAGTATGGGTACTGATAATAATTTACTGTTAAGTCTTACTAAGCCCGTATGGCTCTCACTGTGCTTCTACACCAGTTCTTGTACAGACCCAAACTCTCCCCTCTGTTACTTTGCATGCTGTGTTATTAGAACTAATTTCATCAGATAACTGAGCCTTAAGACCAAGGAAGCAACTTGCTGTTGATTCAAGAGGATTATCCATGGTATGTAAGCCTTTCTGCACTGATGGGATTTGTTAATTTTGGGTTTCCTTTTTGACTACAGCAGCTTCAAAACAGTGTGGAACATCTACTTACACTGTGATGCCTGGCTGCCCTGATAGCCTTTCTCTTAAGTTTACCAGGCTGTGAGGCTGTTCTGCAGTCACCTCCAATTAGGGAACTTATATCTGCTACTGCATGTTTTTTCTGGGATAACTTTGAACGATGGGCAGTAAGTGCCAGCAGTGCAGGCGAGGCAACGCTCCTGTGAGATTTTGCTCTCAGCACTTAAAGGCAATGTCAGTCTACTCCTCATGGCTGTGAAGCTACAGGGTGTTCTGCATCACTGTGTGGTGTTCCTGTAAGGTGAGAAAACAAAGAAATAAAAATATACCCCAAAATGAAACCCTGAGTTACACTACTTCTTAAAAAATGCTAGTGTATAACAGTGCCATTTATGACCATGTAAGGCAGAAATGCTAAAGTGACCTAAACTAAAATTGCTAAGGTCACACAGGTATAAAATGAAAAAAATAGTGCCTAGGAGAATGTTACCCAGCAGAAAGAGAAGTATTTTTCTCTTGTGTGGATGGAATCAGGGGCAAATGAGTTTCTAGAAGCACCAATATACCAAGTGGTGCAATATAGCTTTTCACTAACCAAATATTAGGTCCCTCATCCAGAACAGAATGAGGAATATGGTAGGGCTGTATCCAACTCTATGCCTGTTTGCTATATATGTATGGCCCTTCAGTCTGTGGAAGGGATGTTAATTTCTGAACACAGAATTAATTTTTTAAAGATGTCAGCTGTGCAATCACAGAACTGTTATTTATTGGTCCCAGAGAGCCATTGTTTGGAGAATGTGAGCATTTTCCAGAATTCACAAATCATTGTGTCTCTGTTCACAAATGTTTGTGTCTGTGGATAGTTAGCTATTGACATACTGAGCAATATCAGGGCATTTGTGCTTTTTTAATGATGACTATCAAATGCAGTGTTTATAGCAATTCCATGGTTTTGTGTTAGTGCTGCATCTCGTTCTGGTAGCATCAGTCAGATTGGCTGAAAGAACTGGGTGCTTTCAGAATTAATGACACAGCAGGAGGACCCATATTCCATGTTAATGGAAGCCATGATCGTTCATTCTTCTCAGTTTTAGCATTAATTGGGAATAATTTTCTGCCTTTACATTTTACATTGTAAAATGTAGATTTGCACCAAGAATAAAAACCACTATGAATTCCAGTAATCCAGTATCCTGATGAATTGCAGCATACCAGAAAAATAGCTACACTGTGCCAGTTTATAGGTTCATGTGTTCTACAGAGTAATTTTGGATATGGTATATAATGAAGTAAGAGAAAAGAAATTAGTAGAAGACAGGTAGATTGGATTCAATGCCTGTTCTTCAAGCTTCTGCAGCTGAATGACAAATTCACTGACATGTAGTAATGGGATGCTTAATAGCATTGTTTGAAAGAGCTGAAATTGAAACAAATTATTTTTTTTTCCTTTGCTATGACAATGTAGACTGTCAGTGGTAAAATTCACTCTGCTGAGGTACATTCTGTGATATAGAAACTGAAATGTGTGTTCCTAGGTCATTTGTGTGTTAAGTCTGATACTGAAAATGCAGATGTTGAAAGAAGCACTGCCTATATTTCCCTGATGAGGATTCATATTTATCCTGGTCATTCAGCGCCATCTACTTATCTCTGCTCATCTGAGCAGAGCTTCATGTCCATCTGGCAAGGTACAGAGAATGATGAAAGACAGAAGTGTGTATGAAAATATGTTGTTGGATATAATTGTTGCACTGGATCAATCTAGAACTTAATAGATCCTGTAGTTATGAAAATATATTTTACTAGGAATCTGTGCTTTGTCAGAGGTGTGTGATGTACAGATACACATCTGAGATGTACACACATGGTAGAATGTTGTGAATTCTTTGAGTTTAATGTATAAGTCCTAACCATGTGTTGTCCTGTTCTAGTGAAGCAAGTACAAGGTAGTGTCAATTAGCTATCACTGTTTTAATTATTAACTAGGCTCTACTACTTCAAAAGGATATTTTCATATGAGTGGCATGTAAGTCAGTCTAGAATATGATCTGTTCAAAGGTGAAGCCACGTGGTTTAATCTGTAGTTGTTGAGCCTGTGTTTTAATTTGTTAGAAGAAAAGTTATCTATGCTCATTGACAGTGAGACCTACAGAGTGGTCTGTGTAAGTTGGATGTAGGGTGCTGGTTTTGATGTGTTTGCAGTTTTGTTTTTTTTTATAAACCCACAGATAAGAAATAGATTTCTGAGTTCGTTTTCAGAAGCATGCAACGTTTTGCTGTTGAGATCAGGGTATCTGTTCATCTGAGTAGTAATGAAATGCTAAGAGGAGTCTGAAATTTTATTAATCCTGAAAGATAATGATAAGGAGAAATTGATTAAATATTTGGCATCTTGAGGTCTGTTTTGAAAACTGGAAATATAAGCACGAATCAGAAAACTTAGAATTTTTTTTCTAAAATATTAAGTTGTTCTCTGTAGAAAGAAGTGCTCATGTATGTAATTTTTCTAATCTTTCCTGTAGGCCAAGTTTCTAGATCATATTGGCAATTAGCCTACTTCTATGACTACTTTTCTTTTTACTCACGTGTGTTGTGGCTTAATCCCAGCTGGAAAGTGAACACACAGCTGCCCACTCCTTTTCTTTTCTTGGAGAGGTGGGAAGAGAATTGGAAGAAGAAAACTGAGAATTTATGGATTGAGATAAAGACAGTTTACTAGGTAAAGAAAAAGCTGCATGCACAAGCAAAGCAAAGAAGGAATGCCCCACTTCTCTGGGCAGGCAGGTGTTGGGAAAGCTGGGCTCCTTCATGTACAATGCTTACTTAGGAAGACAAATGCCATCACTCTGAACATTTCCCCTTTCTTATTCCCCCAGCTTTTTATGCTAAGCATATGGCATGGGATACCCCTTGGGTCAGTTGGGGTCAGCTGTCCTGGCTGTGTCTCCTTCAAGCTCCTTGTGCACCCTCAGCTTTCTCACTGCTGGGGGGTGAGGGGCAGAAAAGACTCTAAACCCTGCAGTAACGAAAACATCTCTGTGCTTTCATCAACACTGTTTTCAGAACAAATCTAGAACAGCTCCACACTGGCCACTGTGGGCAAAATAACTCTGTCCCAGTAAAAGACAGTGAATGTGATAACTCTTGGTTTATTTAGAGAGCCTTTTCCTGAGAGTATTTACTACTGAACATAATGCTTACAGTAGATATAATGGTTTGGGTTGGAAGGAGTCTTAAAGATCATCTAATTCTAACCCCTTTGTTGTGGACGTTCCTTCCACTAGACCAAGTTTCTCAAAGTCCTTGGGGTATTCATGGTAGGTGTCTTTAAGGCATGTGTGTGCTTGAAAAGCTCTCTGGTTTACTTTAACTTGGAAGACCTGTCTATGCCTTGTCTGAGAGTCCCTTGACAGCCCTGTTTAGTCTTGTTTAAGAAATTTCACTTTGGGACCTTTATGTCCATTCAGCTTTCTCTAAAAATAAGCACTTACTCTCCAGGACAAACACTGCCACGTTCCTGCCACTACTCCATCTACAGAAGGATGTTTCTTTCTTGTTGTGTGCTGCTGGAAGGCTGGGATATATTGAACTTGATGATATGGCCCCAAATTCTGAACTGTTTTAAATGTCTGCTTCCTATTAGACTTCTGCCATGTTTCAGTAACCTTTTTGAAATGTGACTGCTATTTATCTCTCTTTTCTAATGGAACATGTCCTGGTACTTGACAGAAACAAACATCTACAATCACTAATGCCATAGGGTCAATGTAGCTGCAAAAAGGATGAAGTTGTGACATTGTGCTCATAATAAAATTGCCTGCTAAGTTACAGTTGACCATGTCTTTTGGTGTTGGCTTAAGGACAGAAAAAGGCCAGGTGTGATTTGTGATACCTGGATGCAAGCATTTTGTTGCTTGCCTATGAAAATATTCTATTTGTTAACTTTTGTCAAAAAATACCAGTCAGAATTTTGAGAGCATGTTGACTAAAATTAAGTTGTGTGAATATTCCTATTTGTCATGATCTTTGTTTCAAAGCTCTATGAAACTTAGGAAATGCAGTATTGCAGAAAAATTAAAGTTAAGGAAAATATTTGAATATCTATAGATACCTTTTTAAATTTTTAGATTTAAAATTTAGATATTAAATTTTACACTTTTAGATCTATATAATACATTTTTAAAGCATGGGAGAGCTTAGAATTTTTTAAGGATCAGAAGATGATAAATTGAAATTTCCAGATTCCATAAAAGTAAATTGCTTTAGTCTGGGACTTCAAGCACCTTGACTGTTGAAATGCATGGTATTGAGTACTTTAACTTGATATTTTATTCTGTAACACATTCTGTTTAAAAAAAAAAAATCTCGACTTTGAATTCTTTGAATTAATTTATTCTGGAGTAAAGATAGAATCTTTGCAGTACTCTTTCCTCTTAGATATGTTATAACATACATTTGGTATGGCCTGTTTCCTATTTAAAAAAATGCTCGTGTGTGGAGAAATTATTATATCAAACATTAGAGAGGAAATTACTTGATATTGTTAATGAATTTGATTGTTAATTTCATGCTTCTAAATCAGGTGAAGGAGTGTGCTTCTGGCTGCTTTGTGCTAGAATGGAGCAAATGCAAGCAGCTGGAATGTCTCAGGTATGCAAGAAGGTTTAAAGCCTGTGCCTGTTGCCAGTGCAGCCCAGCTATTGTGTGGCTGTGAATCTTGCTCTTAGTTTACTCTGTGTGTCCAGAACTCCTCTACTGCTGGCATGAGATCAAGACCAAAGAGAACTTGATCAGTGTATTTTGATAGGGACCTTTGTGTTGCAGTTTTTGTGAGTCTTAGAATTGCCACTCACAGAGTAGCTCCTGTGTGCCAGGTGTGCTGTGACATGATGTCTGTGTTTAAGATACCAGTGCTACTGAGCTGCCTGTTAGTTACAGTAATGACAACCTCGATGTGTGTTATTGGAAATGGTGAAAATGCCTTTTTTCCACAGCTTGCATATTATGACTTTGTATCCATGAACTCAATCTTTCATCATTATATTAAAAATCGAATTATTGATTTTTTGGGTCTCAGAGTGGAAGCCTGTTTCTAAATACCTTTCCATCAAGCACAGCCAAAGGATTTTGAATTTTACTACTGCACAGACAGCTGTGATTTTCATAATTGATTTGTGTGGGTGTCAGTGTTCAGCTCTCCAATGAAATTTGTCAGAAAAGAAATGAGACACTGAATGAGAAGGGAATTAAAGCAGAAATTTGTCTGTACAGATGATTTAGCAGTATCTAATGTGGAGCTAATTGGCTAGTATCCAAATTGTGCTTCTGATTGTTTGTTTTCCTCTGGGGAAAAATGTTATTGAATACTCGATGCCTGCTTCCCTGAAGTAAAATAACATAAGCTTGATGTCTCAGTATTTTGTTCTAATATCAATTTTTATCTTGTATGGCACAACTATTTCTTATCATGTCCATGGATTACAATATCAAAACTTATAATGTTGGATTGTTGTAGCAAAATACTGGCTATGTGTAGGTCGGCAGGAATTTTGCATTTTACATTATTAGTACCAGAATGTTACTCTAGGTTGTTATACAGTGAATATATAGGTGAATTTTTAATGCTTAGCTTTTGGTTGTCATCCATAGTATACTCACTAGTCAGCAGAATGCCATAGGGATGTTCTCCCCCCCCAAAAAAAGGGCAGGCTACTTAAATGTTCATGGAATTGTACAGCAGTCAGATTTAAAACTTTGTCTCCAAGGACGGTCTGCTGGAAGGCTTTAAAATTCTGTTGGATGTCTAAAGTCCTTCAGTCAAGTTAGGTAATATAACTGAGCAAAAGCAGAGCACTGGTATAGAAGGAGATGTAGCAATTGCATTTTATACTTTTTTTCTCTAGTGAAGTATAATTTTAGTTTCCCTTCTTGGTGGTGAGATTTTCTGTATGTCAACTGTCAGATAGAGAAATTCACCAAAGTTATTCGATCCTTCTGGAGTGACCTTACCAGTTTCTGCTTTTTACTGTACTTCTACTTATTGCTCAATACTACTTTGTTCAACAGATAACATTTAGAATATTAGTAGGAATCATCTTCCTTTATAATTCTAAGGTTGTTACTTGCATATATATATATTTGAATAATAATAATGAGAATATGTATGATTTTCATCTCAGATCTGTATAAGATGCTGGAGTTTGTGTCATAACCTGAGGTTGTGAGCAAGCACAGTGACAAAATTTCTCCTTTGGAAATAAGGCAGCTACAGGACCTTAAGGAGGCTTTTGTCTGTATGTTTAAAAACGGAAATATGCTGTAAGCATTATGCCAAGTGGAGTTTGAGTTTTCTGTGCCTTGGGTGCAGCAGAAGGGGATCTTATAGGGGGTATTTTCTGGGTACAGGGCATGGAATGTTTGTGGGGATGTCGGGATAATGTACAGCTATAACCATTGTTTATGGCTGTTCTGGAGCAGCAAGTGTACAGTGATTGGTTGGGGTTTTTTTGCCAAGATAAATTTATTGTCTGCGGTAAATGTTCATTGGTTATATTGGTGTACTCTGATTTTTAGCTCAACATAAGTCAGTTGTTTTTTTTTCATAGCAGTCAACAGCCACAGTCCAGAGATTTTTTGAGTGGAACTACAGATGCTTATTTGTGCCTTCATGCTGGAATGATGGTACCATTTTGTATGTGTGCCTAATGTCATCAATGCATGGGCTTTTGTGTGCTGTCTCTTGCAAAGAGAAAAATGTTATATATCCCATCAAGCAATGGTGCTTGGCTTAGTTCTTGGAATAATTGCTGTTTGGAGGTAATCAGTACTGACAGGTTTTTAAAATGTTTCAGGACTTCTTTAAGGTATATTTTGTTGTTTTTTTTCTTTTAGGTGGCCTGGCTTTAGCTCAAGTACTTTTTTTTTATGTGAAATACCTGATTCTGTATGGTGTTCCTGGCCTCCTCCTTCAAATGGATGGACTCAAACCTCCAGCTCTGCCTTGCTGTGTGAGCCTGATGCACAGTTTCACTAAAATGTGGAGGTTAGTAATTGTTGCTTTTCAGACAGTTTATTACTGATATGGCAGTCAGTAAGAGCCTGCATGTGTGTTCATGCTTATATACATTTTTGCTTTCCTGTCCTTGTGCTTTTTCTCTCATTCCCATTATTCATCTTTAGTGCTTTTTAAATGGACTTCAACTTGTTTACTTTTTTCACACTGTGGAGGGATAAGAACCAGTACCCATTTCAGCATTTTCATAATTTCAATTACTAGAGTTAGACTCAGCCTACCTAGTTAATATAGTAATTCTTTTTCTCAGTTATCTATTAAATGATTTTTTTTTCAGTCTGAGTCTGAACCCCACACTTTCAGCTTGAAATCCTTCCAGAGATTAAAAATAAATGCTTGATTAATCACATGAGGAAAGCTGTAGTTATATTTTAACATGTAGAGTCATATGGTAGAAGAAGCCTTGAACACGTCAAAAATACTATGAAAATGTATTTCTGGATCTGCTTTGCTTTTAAGGGAGTTTCAGCACAATATTTCTTCAAAAACCTATGACTTTTGTGTTTTATGTTTGCTTTAAATCAGCATTCACTGAAATATTTTCACCAAAAACTCTCTCCCAGTTGGATTCTGCTTAACGTTTACCTTCTGTGTAAGAGTGGATTCACTTGACTTCTCTCCTCCCTTGTTTTCCTCTGCACTACCCAATATTCCTTCAGGCTGTGGGATTCTGTGGCCCAGACTTCTAAAAGCATTCCCCTAATGATTTAGACTTGTCAGTCTTTTAGTGCAGAGGTTTTTCTCCTGTTGTGCTAGTGTAGAGCCTGTCAGAACGGTGCTCACTCCATCTTGTTTCTGACTGCTTTGCAATATAAATAAAGCTTTTAATTTTAGTCCTAAGAACAGTAGCCCTGCTGTTATCAGAATTTTATTGGATGAGATTTTAATTTTGTTTTCAGCTTGAAGCTAGTTGTAACAAGAAGGCTTTGTAGTTTATAATAGTTGGCAAGTGTAGGTCTGAAGTATTCAAAGAAATGCAGCATGAAAAGAGTGCAGAAAACAGATGAATTATTAAAAATTATTTGAGCTACTAACAACTGCTTTGGTTTAAATGCTCTTTCAGAGTTTGCATTGAACTTATGACCTGCTGAGTTAATATAGAAATCTGTCATTTTTACCAGGCACTCTCATGAGAGCAGCATCTCTTGGCCTGCTGGCCCTTGTAGGCGGAGTTGCAAACAGCAGCAGTTTTCCCCCTTTGTCAGTTCTTATTCCAGGGAATCTGTGTATTGCACTGGAGGTGCCAAGTGAAAGTGAACTTCAGCACAAATCCTAATGACACTGCTGTGCCAGGTAGTTGTAACAGGCCATGAAAAGGTGCTCTGCACCGGCAAATGTGTGGGGTGTATCACAGTAAAAAAATTCAGCATTCCTTAAAATATTCATAACTCTTGTACAAAAATTGAAACTAATATCTAGTAGAAAACTTTTCTTTCTGGAAGGAAAAACTGTCAGGTGCCGATATTTATCTTTTGCCCAATTATTTAATTTATATCCAGCATTCATTGCCGGAAGTAATAAAATTATTTCGCAGATTGAATTTGTTTGCTTTGAATGTTGAAAAGGTCAGTTAATATATACCTGACTTGATTTCTTGCTCTCAAAGCTCTTTAGTAGTAGATTTTTCTGTAGCTGCTGTGTTTTGGGTAATTCTCAATTATCTAAAGAGCTTTGTGAATGCCCTGAATTATGATCTCCTTATGCCTTTGCAGTTAAACTCTTCAAACACTCTCCCCGGAGGCTTTGCAGTCTAATGTAGTGCATTGGTATGTTGTACAGGAATATTGTGTTAGAAGTAGGAATAGGCTTTGTTTCTGAACTGTATGACTGAACAAGACAAAGTTCTCAAATTATGGGTTTAGCATAAAATAAGTGAAAAAAGGGGAAAGTAAATGACTCATGTTGCGAGGCCTTATTAACCATGACACTGTGTTTCCCTAAAGTTCTAAACACACATTTTGATAGTTTGTGAATACAAGACTTTAGCAGAAGTGTTCCTGACAACTTTATCAGAGTGTGTCAAATTTAAATATTAATAATGCCATGTCTAGTTTTAAGCTGGTAGAGTGAGATTTGTACCAGGCTGTTTTCATTAAATGGTAGTCTGGTAAAGCTTATTAAAGACTTCTTAGGGCCAGGTTGGGAAATGGAGTGGATTGGAATGATCCAGATGACTTGGAGTTACATCATCCTTACCTTCTGTCTGGCATCAGGGACACTGCTTGGAAAAAAGTGCTAGTGTATGCTTGGCTTACTCTTCCCCTTCTTGCTGGTATCCACTAGAGAATACTGTCAGAAACGTGTTGGCTGGACTTTCCAAGGCCCAGTATTACTATTTTTGTCTCAAAGCTTTTAGCAGCACACATTTTGAAGGAGGGAAGGTAGCCTGGAGAGAAAGACACCATGCATGTCACAATGTAAGGAATGCAAACGTGCTGCTGAGGAGCCTTACACCACCACCTGGTGTCCTTTGAGCATAACAACAAAGTTTTGGATCCAGTCTATCCAGACCAGTGTCACTTCTAGTCAGCACATGCTGATATAATTGCATGTGATACAGGACATGGAAGAACTTTCAGTCAGGAAGGTAAGAAAGATACCACAGTGTGTCTAAATTTGTCTAATGTTTCTTTAGAGCTGAAAAGCAAAGCAGGTGTTAAAAAAACCAAAACAAATAGTCTACCTCTCTTTTTGTGGTACTAAACAATAAACCAAATTGTGTCCATTCAAACCTAAAAATAAAAGCCTTTAATTTAAAAAGTTATCAGACCTTCTTAATTCACATTTAATCAGGACAATCGCTAGAGTAAAAGAATTATCAATCTTGTTTGCTGTCTCGAGACAAATACAGGTGTTGAATGCATTACTCTGGTTTCATTCTACTGGGATATCATTAGCTTGCTAAATATGCAGCTGCATAGCTAATAAATGCATGATAAATGCACTGCTATTCAAAAGCTCTATTATAGCTGTGAAAAGGAGTCTCTGAGCTCCTGATTTCCAGAAAGGACAGCAGTTCAGTGGCACTCAATCTTAGTTTTTAATGTCTGCTTTACCTTAAGACATGACAAATTAAAACTGAGTTTTTGTTACCAAGGTTAAAAGCAAGCTAATGAATTGTGGGAGAGAACCAATGTTGTTGGAAACTTGTGCTTTTAAAGAATTGGTCAAGGCTGATGCTTGCCATACAGCTTCTCAGGTGGGGGGGATCAATTGTGTAGTGCAACTAACAGAAGTTGTGCTACTGCTGAAACTTGCAAATTGAGACTTCAATGTGGAAAAATATCCTAGTGGAGGAGTAATGGTTTGGAAACTACAGAAACAAAAGATAGTACATAACTAAATCCTGTATCAGTTTTGACATAATGGTAAATTATCTTGGAATGTATTCCATAGAAGAACATGTCAGTTTGTAAATTAGGACAACAGTTAGCTCAGCTGCTGTTCATGGAAAAATAATTGTGCTTCCATTTTTGGGGTTTTTTAAAATATTGTTACGGAGTGTGACAAAAATGTTGACCACATTAGTTAGATATGTTTTACCATGCTGTGGGAACAGCGTGACATAAATCCCCCAGTTATTTCTGGTTGTAGACTGATTTGAAATGTGCAGAAGCACAACACTTTGATGTTCAGAGGAGCTGGAGCACCTCGCCTGTGCAAATGGTTTGAGAGAGTTGGGTTCAGCCAGGAGAGGTGAAGGCTTCAGGGAAACCTCATTGCAGCCTTCCAGTACCTAAAGGGGGCTTTTAAAAAAGAGGGAGGGAGACCTTTTTACGCAGGCAGATAGTGATAGACAAAGGGAAATGGTTTCAAAGTGAAAGAGGAGTGGTTTAGATTAGATTTGAAGAAATAATTCTTGAGTCAGACAGTGGTGAGGCATTGGAATATGCTGCCCAGAGAAGCTGTGGATGCCCTGTCCCTGGAAATGTTCAAGAGCAGGTTGGATGGTGTCCTGATCAACCTGGTCTAGTGAAAGTTGTCCCTACACATATCAGGGACATTGAAACTAGATTATCTTTAAATGTCCCTTACAATCCAAACAATTCTGTGATTTTTCTCTGTCTTTCCACACCTTGAAATCTTATAATTCTTAAATATCCCAAAATAGTTTGGAAACAAGTGTGTTGGGGATGAATTGTGCTAAAACTTAATGCATACTTAATATAGATTAGTCTCAGCAAGAGCAGAGGCTTTTCAAGAAGGCAGGAAGAAGTAGCATATGAAATGTAGATTTCATTGTAAACAGTATTTCATCTAGAATAAAGAAAAAGAAGTTGAAGAATGCTGCCAGAGGAAAATAAAATGGAGTGATAAAGATCAGATCATTTTCAACTACTATGCTTTAAGTTCTATATTCTACTCTGTATTTAACACCCTGATTCTTGACAGACAAGAATCTGACAATGCAACCCCTGATTTTCTTACATGCTAAAGGGGTGGACTAGGAAGGCTGTATTTTGCACATACAGACACACACGCTTCTATATGAACAAGTTAAGTTTGTTTTAGTGACATCCAAAAATGGCATCTGAGTTATGATTTGCAAGAAATTGTCTGCCATTTAGTTTATTTACTGGCCTCGTTACTCTAAAGATTATTTGCCTGACATGAAAAAAAGTGGTCTTTGTGCAGGGTCTCAGTGAATTGCTTCAAATTATGGATTACAGTCTGCTGTGGGTTTATCACATTCTTGGCTACAATTATGCCATAGAAAATAAATGAAAAAATAAAAACGTAAATTTATTTGCATTTGTTTCTTCCTGATCCTGGTACTTTTTGCCTACTTTTACTGTTGATCCTGAAACTTTCCTTCTTCTGGGAACAATTCCTTGTGTGTCTGTCAAAAAGGATGTTTCCAGCGTTTTTTCCCCTTTGTTTTGGACTTTTCTGGGAAAAGATAAGTCTGACACTCAGGTAATGTGCACAAGAGATCACTGTGACTGCATGCAATAATTCTGGAATGATGA